GTTCTTCAAAATTATTTCAATTCCTATGGATTCTGATGCAGTTTTTCACAAGGATTCTGAATATGTGGTTGGTTTTAAAATTCGAGTGAAAAAAGTGAGATTTTCATCATTTTTTCGAAAAAAATGCTTTTTTATTTACTTTAAAAAAGAAAAGTGTACTTTTTGTATTTGACCTCTATCTTCGCGAAAATACGATTTATTCCAGAAAAATTTATTACCAAAATGATCAGCGCAAAATTCTCTACAAACGCTGTAACGTTGAATGAATTCTGACTTGGTCGGCGGATCGGCTGGCGATTTCCGGTGGAATGACCCATATATAAAGATAAAATAACAGCGAAATTCCAGAGTGTCTTCTGTGCGAACGACAATCCAATTTTATTTTAACCAATATTTTCATTCATTGCGTAAAACAGTTTTCTTTTCCTTCTTCAACAAATGATATGCGTATTCTTTTATTTCTGCGCCACGTGCTTTCTGTTATCTTTTCTCCTGTGCTTCGACATATATTCCTTTCTTGATGAAATCCAGTAACTATGTAACACAATATTAGATAAAAAGTCAAACGAGACTCTCTTTTACAAATAAACAAATTCCATATCACTGTCAACTCTATTCTTATTCTTTTCCATAAAAATTCATGAATAAACACCATATCTTGCATTTATTACGACAAACATCAACGAATGGTCTCAATTTACTATCTACCAAAGCTTTTCATCATATAAAAACACGTTCCATCCGCAGAAAATTTCACAATATTCATTCGTCAATACCCCCCTAATGGAAATATCCGTATTAATTATCACAGTCACTTGAAGAATATGAAAAGTAACACGAAAGATCCGCTTGAAAATAGAAAGGTCCGCTACAAATTCTAGGAATATATCGAATCGAATAGAGCAAGGTCCTTCTGGATATAGAAAGGTCCCATGAAAGGTCCGGTAGCATTTAGAGGAATTTCTTATAACTGACATTCGATAAATGGATTGTCCATTTACTCTCTTAGTAAGATCCTTTATAGCTTCAAAGGACTTTTCGTAAAGTGGACATTTTCTGGATCTTTGCCAGCCCTCGGCACCTTGTATCCACCACAATCGGCGGAGTGTACTAGCCTATTGTAGAGTATGTACGTTCTTCTATATTATTTTATTTTTTAGTAGCTACAGAAACATATAATGGCTTCTGATCAAAAAATTGTTGAAATTCTCCAATCAAATAACGCTATAAAGCAATCAACAATAGCAATAGTAAAAGACTATTTGAAACTTCAAGATGATTTTTTCAAGAAAGTTAGCTGTATTCTGGAACAACTTGATACGATTCAATGTGTAGCGAATGTATTTCTCACAGATGATGAAAAGAAACTTCTCAATGAGTTCAAGCCCGCCGAAAAAGTTCAATTGGCTATTTGTGGCTATAACTCAACAGGAAAGACAACATTTGTTCATGAACTATTAAAATGTGGCAGCTTTCTACCGACAGGCATTGGTGCAGTTTCGGCGCGTATTATCAAATTTTCTTATGCTGCTGCAAACGAAGCATGTCTGTTGAAGTATCAGTCAGTGCTCGATTCAAACGAGCCTGAAGAGACTGTTAATCTTTCACTTTTTTTCACGAATTCTAAGAGTAAGGAAAATATCAGAAATCTTAGGGAAACTGTGAAAAAATATGTCGCTAGACCGACGATAGATAAGATGTCTGACGAATTTGAACAATGGGCATCGCATTTCATTGAAATTCGTATTCCATCCCCCTTGTTGCAGCTTGGTATTGATGTTTATGATACACCTGGATTTTTGGGTACGGATCCACCGATACTAGCTAAGAATTTACTCAACCTTGTTTCTAAAATACGTCCATCACTGCTCTATCTTTATGATAATGCACTAGTGTCCGACGATTCTCGAAAGTGTTTTGAACAACTTCAATTGGCTCTTCGTCATCATTTTCGAGGTACAGCTATTTTTTTTCTTAACACAAAAGCTGATGTATTAACAATTCGAAATGATAGCGAAGAAGATGATGATAATAATAATAATAATGAGGATGAACACGTCTTAAACAAGGAACGACAAAAAAGGTATAATCTTTTACTCGATGTCAGTGAAATGAGTAGTACGATATCAGATGGAAAACGTGTTTCACTGGATCAATGTGATTGTTTCGATATATTCAGTTCACAAGGTTCAGCAGATCGTATGGAAGTTATACTTAAAGAGCACGCTTACAATACTGTAGTTCGTTTTGCAGTCAAACACGACTTGCGTAGTACCAAACAGATCATTGATGTGATAGTGAGACTGATAGATGATTTCTTTGACTTTGTATTAATTACAAATCGACGATCTGAAGATGCATGGAAAAAAATGCGGGATTATAGTCTTCAATGGATTGATGGCTATTTTGCCGCGTACCAATCAAACATACACGAAATTGCGAGAGAAGCAAAACGTCGTTTACCGAAAAAATTTGACCAACATCGTGATGAAATTGAAAAACGTACTCTATCACACTGTGAAACAACATGGTGGGAAAAAATGATTGTTGCTGCAAAGCTAGAGCATTCTATTCCCTCTTCCGCCAGCATAGATTACATCAACATGCTTGTAGAGAATGAAGTGATAAAGCCGATATTAGATGAGATTACAATGAAAATGAGCAAGAACGCAAAGGAGCAAACAGATCAAAACAAAGAACCGCAACAAACAAACAAAAATGAATTATTGATGGCGGCATATAGAAAAGTTATGATGAACAATGGAGATTATGGTTCTTTTTACTCTCCATCTTCACTTGGACTTTTCAGAAAAATTCAATTTCTAATGCTCTCGCCCGCCATACTCATCGCAGCACCACTGAACTATCTAATAAGTAAACAATTTTCTCGAATCCATGGAAGGAAAAGTTCGTTGATAGATTCCAGAATAAACAGAATAGAAGCGAAACGAAAGTATGATGCACACGAATATCTTAATGACATACAAGAAAATATGAGAGATTTCGATCAAAAAATAAAAGAGAATATGCAAAAATGGCTCGAGAAAAATCGTGACGAATTCATTCTCACAGTTGATAATTATTGTGATGTTGTGCTTCAAACACTTGACAAACGTCAAATGGCATACAATCTTGCTCGGCAATTTGCTCCTTGCTTCGCTCGCATTGAATGCTGTTTGGTGTCTAATCTGGACTTATGCAAACATGACGGTGAGCCCATTTCTATTCAAAGAGACAATATGCTGAGTTCAGGTGGATTTTTTAATATCTATCCAGCTAAGTGGAACTTAGAAGAAAACTTAGTGGTGAAAGAACTTATTCGGCCGATGGAGGATCTTGATATTGGCTACTTAGAGGCCCATTTTCATCGTACAGCTACCCGCCTTCAAATACCTCATATGGTTCCACTTCAATATTTGTACGAAATCGCTACGAATCCACACCAAATCAGCATTGTCTTACCACGCTATTCAAAAAGTCTTCATTCGTATCTGATGAATCAAATGCAGCATGTATCAATAGACAAAGCTGTTCAAATTTCACTGGATATTTCTCGTGTCATTGCTAACATGCACTCATATGAACTTGTTCATCGTGATGTGAAAGTTGAGAATATTTTGCTCGATGATAAAGATCAAGTTTTTCTTGCTGATTTCGGTACGTGTCAGCATGGAACAGAAAATTCAACATTCATTGGTTCTCGACCGTTTGTTCCCGAGGTGACCACAGGTGATCATCAATACTCTTATCAAGGATCAGCTTTTGATGTGTTCTGTCTTGGTGTATTAATGTATGTTGTTGCTCCGAAAGATTCTTTTCACAGACCTCGCGTTATGAAAGACACTGAGGTCAAGTCACTAGATCGAACTCGCGTACCTGAAAACTATTGCCGTTTAATTTATCGATGCATCACTACGGATCCTGCGAAAAGACCTACGGCGAATGAAGTCGTAAGAGAACTCGAAACAATAGCAAATGAAGTAGATCATTTGAAACCGTGTCTTGTTTGCATGAGCGCTCCACGTGCTGGTCGATGTTTGCCTTGTAAACACAAAACAATGTGTATAGAATGTCTGACAAATCTTCAGCAAACCAGTACTGAACCCCAATGCATTATCTGCAGAGAAATATTTACTAGCACTGAAATGGATGACGATTTCAACACATTCATAGCTCCTGCAAGAACAACTGTCCTCAATCAATAAATGGAACATTCACAAAATTCTTTCAAAGTATTCACATGCGCGTGGACGGATCTTTGGTTAATAAAATTCTAATGACCTTGCTATATATGTAATACAGTATAAAATAGATTCGAAAGTATACATAATCATCGTTCATTCTAGCTCTAGTCGTTCTTTCTCTATGATAAACTTTTATTCTTTCCGACATACTTAACCGCATTGT